AACTTTGTTAAGAATGCTTACTTATGCACCATATGGACTCCTAGTGTGGCACTGTGGCCTAATGCGTCAGACTGCAAAGTCATTTAAACTGCCAAGTCAGTGGTTCAAGCTCACCAGCTGCTCCTTGGAAACCTTATGCAGGGTCGCTATGGGTCAGAGTCGACTCAATGGCACTTAACAACAACAACAATCTACCATATAATTTGAGAGCACATATGTAAGCAAAGAAAAGCTCAGAACCTCTTGGGAAATGTTGGAAAATGGCTTAAAATATATGTGTTGTTGTTAGGGGCTGTCCAGCAGGCCTTGACTGATGGTGACCCTATGCATGACGGATTGAGACACTACCAATTCCTATGTATCTCTGAGACGGAAAATATATTTACCCCTAGAAAACAAAGAGGTCTCTACGTGGTATAAACTGCACTCGACTGGTAACTTAAAGGTGGGAAGTTTGAACCCATCCAGTGTTACCACAGAAGACAGGGTTGGCAGTCTGCTGTCATTAAGATTACAGCTGAAAAAACTTTATGGAGCACAGCTGTACTGTGTAACACATGGGAGTTGCCATGAGTCACAATCAACTCAAGGGCAACTAACAATGGCAACAACAACAAAAAAGCAGTTGTAGGATCCTGGCTGGTTGGCCAAGAGGGGCACACAACCAATATAGCTTGCAGTGTGATGTCTTGTTAAAGTCCTTTTCTTTTTCCTTCAACAGATTTCTGAAGCTGTTGTCTTTCCCAAGGGCTCTAGGCAGCCTGTCTTCAGAGCTCTTTGGACTCTGAGGGAAAATACTCCCTCCCTCTGTGAAGGATGTGATGTCCTTTTGCTCCAAGCCAGAGAGCCCTAAGACTCTTTTCTATTTTTAATTGGATCAGTAAAATTACTGAGTGTTAAATAAATCCATTTACAAAGAAATAAAAAGAGTACCACCAAGATATTCACTGTCTAAAATTCTTTCTGAAGGTTCTCAATGAACTGAAGCCTGATTATTTGAAAATATTCTTTGCAAAGCAAACAATTTCATCTTCCTCAGTTTGCCTTCAGTACACTTCCTTTCCACATTCATCATGGCATCCAGCTCATCACACTCACACACACACACACACACACACACACACACACACACAAAGCTGAGAGGAATAACCCAAACCACCAGAGCCCTTTGTCCAAATGGGCTTAGTCCCTGCATTAGAATCATCCAAAGTGCTAGGCAAACCTGTGGAATTCTGGGGCTTAGCACATACTATGGAAACCAACTTTTTATTTTACAGAACAAAAAATGAAGGTGCCAAGAGGCTACATGACTCCTCCAAGCTAGAAGTTGGCCCTGAACAGTTTTTATGGGCCCTCACCTGTCCATGGAGTTCTGGTGTGGTGCTGTGGGTAAATGCGCTGGACTAAAAGTTGGTTTAAACCGCTAGGTCAGCGATTCAAGCTCACCAGTCACTCCTTGGAAACCCTATACAGGGTCACTGTGGGTTGGAACTAACTCTACAGCACTCAACAACAACAACAACACTTCTCTATGCTTGGGCTAGTTGGGTAGAGAGAGGAGTAGGAGGGCAGGGAGGACGAAATCATAGAGGACTTTAACGATGCAGTTATCTGGACCCTGCCTTAGATTGAGGGAATCAGAATCTTCAGGGAGCCAGGTCTGGGCACACGTTTTTTGTTTTTTTTTAATTCTACATTGATTCTGAAGCATTGCTCCATTTAACAACTGTTAGAAGATTTAAATTTCTCAATCAGGTTTTATCCATAAAATGGAAATCACAATGAAAAAGTAACATTTCTAAATTAATCATACTATACCAATTATGAATAAGTACTACTATAATTTTTATTCGTGGAGTTCTGGTGTGGTGCTGTAAGATGAATACTGGATTGCTAACTGCATGGTCAGTAGCTCAAGCCACTCCTAGGAAACCCTATATAGGATCGCAGTGAGTCAGAACCGACTCAATGGTATTTAACAACACAACAACAACAACTTGTATTGAGAAGCCTACTGCCAACTTCTGGTTACTTAACAGTTAAAGAGTCTGGGATAAATTAGGCATTAAGAAGATTGATTGTTAAATAAGTCTACAATAACTCCAGTTTGCTATGGGCCCATGAACTGACCAGAAAACCCAGCAGATGCTCTCTCTGCTTAGGTAAAAGGGAATAGCCTGGTGAGGTGAGACTTGTCTAATTTATAAAGCAGATAGTTAAATGAAAAGTATTCTACATCCAAGAAATGAAATTAGCTCAGCAAATAAACCTGAGTTCTGGAAAAGTATAAAGTATGCCATTTTTCATGCCTAGGGCCCTTTAGATGGTACACAGCTAAACAGGAAGTGTGATAAACAGGTTTCTCTGAGTGATGGCAACATAAACTTGGCTGGCCACGTCATAGTGTCAGTCACGCAGCAAAGACTTGGACCATCAAGAAAAAAACAGCAAAAGAAATAAAGCGACTACAGGATCTTCTGCCCACCCTTTTCCCTGGACTTTCATAAACAGATTGAGAATTCAAACAAAAGAAAAAGTAGTAGAAATAGGTAGATGAAAGAATGCAACTGGGTTTGCAGTTGAGGTCCCAAGAAACTCTGGCCACAATGCTTGTCACTGCCTCCTGCCCAACTTGATGTACTGGAGACATTCAAGTTGCACACATACATGCATTTAAAAATCATCTTTAATGAAAGTTAGCGACCTCCTATTTGATGATGTTTGATAAATATACCAAGCTGAAACCTGTTAATATTCTGTCCTTTCAGAACCTTAACAGCAAAACCAACAGGAAAACCAAATTTTCTTACAAGTTCACGTTCAACAGACAATCGCATCTATGCGCTCAGGAGAACAAACCCCAAAGAGAGTTCATCTTTAGACTGTTTCTTCTGTTCACAGTACAATGCAATGGATTGGTACAATGGCAGCAGCAATGGACTCAAGCTTAAGAATTGTGAAGATGGTGTAGAGCCAGGTAGTGTTTTGTTACGTTATGCATAAGGCCGCTATGAGTCAGAACCAACTCTGTAGCACCTATGGTGGAAGATAGAATTTTTGTCAATTTTCATTTGTCAATGAAGATGTGAATATTGGGGAGCAGGGCTTCAGAGGTTACCTAGCTATATCCATGGTGAACACTAAAGTCCTGGACAGCCTCCAGAAGCAAATATAGCATATTTGTAGGTAAATGTATTTAATAACAAGAATTGTTAGGTGTTGTTGAGTTGGTTCCAACTCATAGCGACCCTGCATTGGGTTTCCAAGGATTGGTTGGTGGGTTTGAACCACCAATCTTGCAGTTTAGCAGTCCAGTGCTTATCCTACAATGCCACATCGTTGCTCTTGAACATTTTAAAGAGATCTTGTGAAGATTTGCATATTGTAGTATGTCACTTCATTTCTTGACTGCTGCTTCCATGAGTGTAGCAAGAGAGCAGGTGCAGGCATCTAGGCCCACAGACTGAGTAAAGCTGAGTGCCTATGGGCATTTAGAGACTAGTTAATAGAGCTTCAGGGTCAGCCAAAGACAAGGGTGAGGCATGCCGGCAGTACAGCAGAGAAAAGGCATTCCTGATTTCCTGAATTTTTGTATCCTGTTCACTTCCCTAATAAACAGCATAACTGTGAGGATTGTTATGAGTTCTGTGTGGCCACTGCAATGGACTATCGAACTCAGATGTGAAGCCTAGAGTGCTGTGGGAGGAATGGTTGGTGTCAGGAGAGAGCAAACAAGGTTGTAGGTGAAGGCTGTCTGACCTCTGTATCTGAGGAACCTGCCTTGGGCTGGTTTTTAGTTTAAGTTTCTTTCCCCGCTTGTGAAATCACATGCTACACACGGTTTTTGCAGGGACCCATAAATTGACTAAGAAAACAGACATTAGAACAGAAAAAGGAATACTACTGTCAGGTGTAAAATAGGAAAGAAGTGCATTAGGGTTGTATCCTTTCACTATACTTATTCCATCTGTATGCTGAGTAAATAATCCCAGAAGCTGGACTATATGAAGAAGAATGTAGCATCAGGATTGGAAGAAGGTCCACTAACAACCTCTGATATGCAGATGAAACGACCTTACTTGCCTCAAGTGAAGAAGACTTAAATTATTTATTAATGAAGATCAAAGACTACACCTTTCAGTATGAATTGCACCTCATTGTAAAGAAAACAAAAGTCCTCACAACTGGATCAGTAAATAACATGATAAATGGACAAAAGAATTAAGTTGTCAAAGACTTCATTTTGCTTGAATTCACAGTCAACACTCACAGAAGCAGCAGTCAAGAATCAAATGACATATTGCATAAGCAAATCTGCTGCACAAGACCACTTAAAAGTGTTCAAAAGCAAAGATGTCAGTTTGAGGACTAAGGTGTGCCTGACCTAAGCCATGATATTTTCAATAGCCTCATATGTGTATGAAAGTCAGAAAATGAGTAAGGAAGATCATAGAAGAATTAATTGATGCATTTGAATGATAGGGTAGAAGAAGAATATTGAAAATACCAAACTGCCAGAAGAACAAAGAAACCTGTGTTGAAAGAAGTACAGCCAGAATGCTTCTTAGAAGCCAGGATGGGGAGGCTTCATCTCTCATACTTGGATATGTTATCAGGAGGGAACAGTCCCTGGATAAGGACATAACTCTGGGCAAAGTGGAGGGTCAACGAAAAAGATGAAGACTCTCAATGAGTTAGATGTACACAATGGCAACAGCAATGTGCTCAAGATAAACAACAATTGTGAGGAAGGCGCAGGACTAAGCAGTGTTTCATTCACTATGAGTTGGAACCAACTAGATGGCACTTAACAACAGCAACACAATTTGTTGCTCAGATTGTTAGGGCTTGGGTTTCATTCTGCCATCTTAAAAATTATAGTGTTCTATATTTATTTATACTAGTAACCTTAAGGCTGAGGAAATTTTGAGAGAGACTCCTCTGATTTTTGTTTAATTTGCTAAGTAAATGCATTTACTACTCAAGAAAATGTCTCTTACCTGTTGCTTGAGTGCTTCCAAGGACTCAAATTCCAGCCTGGCCAGTTTCATCTGGATATGCCGTGGTTTGTCAGGTATGGCAAATGCAAGTATAAACTTTAAAGCCAGAAGTGCATGCTGGAAACAAGAAAGAGTTCATGTTGTCATAAAACATTAGACCGTATGTACAAGGAAACAAATTAACACCTAAGCAATCTACAATCCTTCTCATTAATCTTGGATAATTTCTAATTTCTGGCCTGCGAGGTATCAAAGATCAAACAGGTCCAATACTTATAGTTAATCTACTTTACTGTGGCCCATTCAGTAATTACTTACTTTGCTTTACTCTTTAATAATACCAGTTATGACCAAAATTCATAGCAGCACTGTTCACAGTAACAAAAACATGGAGACAGCCTAAGTGCCCATGAATGACAGAATGGATAAGCAAACTTTACTACACACACATAACTGAGTATCACACAACCTTGAAGAATAACAAGGAAGCTGCAGGCCACCGCATAACATGGATGAAC